GGGGGTGATTTCGTGAGGTTATTTTTTGGGGTGGCGAAGAGACGGAGCGGCGGGAAATTGCAGGCGCAGTTGGCAGGGTGCACAGGGAAGAGTTTGATCATTGGAAGCGTGCCTCACCCAGGCTGGGGTCAGGGCCAGTCCTCAGACAAGGACACCGGCGCCGAGCGCCGCCGCGCCGGCGCAGACGCAGCCGCGCCCGCCCCCGAGCCAGACCATGGTTGCATTGGCGACACCTCCCCCTTCCTCCCGCCTTTTGAAAAAAAAACCCTGCAGGATGCTGACGCCCTACGACACGCAGTCATGCGCATGCGCCGCGTTTGACCACAGCGGGCTGTACCTGTCAGTCGGCGGCGCCGACGCGCGCGTGTACGGCTCCAAGCAGGACTGGGCGGTGGTGAAGGAGTGGGCGGACGTGGGCAAGAAGGGCGTCACGGCGCTCAAGGCGGGGCCGGACATGCGGAGCCTGCTGGTCGGCGGCCACGACCACAACCTGCGCGTGTTTGGGGCGGCGAAGTGAAGGGGCTGGGGGTGCTGCGTTTCGGTTGGCGCCCGGCGGGGGCCGGCCGGGGTCGCGGTTGCGGCGGCGCGGCGCGCGTAGTCCTCAAGTGGCTTTTGGGGCCTTGCTTGTGGGGCGCGGTTGTGTGCATGCTGGTCGGGTGGCCAGAAGTTCGGTGGCTGGTGTGACGGTGGTGACGGTGCCGCTGAAGAGTCGTACTGGACCTTTGCTTCTCTATTCTTGCACATCGGTGTAATCACCAACTTATGAGCTGAAGCACCATGCAAATTTTAAGGGCAGCCGTTTGAACCTCACCAGGCTGCGAGGTGCGTTGACACGGAGCAGCAATGCAGCAGCAGCAGGTCTGCGAGCCGAATCAGGTGCTGCAGCTGCTTCTGAGGGCTCTCAGCCATGATCAGGCGATGCAGAAGCAAGCGGAGCAGGCTCTCCACTCGCTGGAGTCGCAGCCGGGCTACGTCTCGTGTTTGGCGGTGCGCCCGGGGCGATCTGTCTCGCAGATCCATTTTGGCAGCTGTTTACCAGCCCGATTAGGGTGTGAGCAAATTCTTGCATTGATCTTAACAGGCCCACAAGTTTCCGCTGCCATGCGCACATGGTACACCGCTGCCACTCACGCATGTCGGGGGTGTGCCGCCGCCGTCGCTGCCCTTCTTTCCTCAGGCGATTGTCGCCAATGGCGAGGCCAACCACAGCGCACGTTGGATGGCCTCTGTCCAGCTCAAGAACACAGTCAGCAAGCAGTGGCGCCCGCGCTACGACAGCAGGTGCGCACGCAGCCCCTGCCCCGCCGCTTGCTAGCCATCGCGCCGTGCTGTGCGCGCTGACCGCAACCCGCACCACGGCGCGCCTCCTGCACCCGCAGGGGGGTGTCTCAAGAGGAGAAGGCGTACATGCGGCAGCACATCCTCGACCTCATCAGCCAAGACGACAGCAAGGTCAGCCAGTCGCAAAGCGCCCGCCCAAGCTCCGCCCCATGCAGCGCTCCTCTCCCAGCTGCATGCCGCGGCCGCGGCCACAGAAGACGCATGCGTGCCCCGCCCTCGTCGCGCATGTGCTGGCTGCATCAGACGTGGTCAGCTTTTACCATCCTTTCTCGCCGGCCGCGTCGCCGCATCAACCCTGCCCCGCCAAACCTGCAACGACACGCACCGCGCCGCTGTTTGACCGTGGTTTGACCAGATCGCGGTCCAAGTGGCGCTGGTGGTGGCGAAGATCGCGCGCAGCGACTACCCTCGGGAGTGGCCCACCCTGGTGTCTGACCTGCTGGGGCGCGTCCATGGCGGCAGCACACTCACGGTGCGGGGCAGCCGGGCGTACTGCTTCAGGGACCCGCCGTGCCGGCGCGCAGCATGCGCAGCGGAGCGCTGAGGGAAGGGCAGCGCTCAGGACACATGGTGGTAGGGGCTGTGCACTCGGCACGTTGGCGGGGCACCATCTTGTGTGCAAGCATTGCGCAGCAGCATGTAATGTGCAGCCGGTGGCCAAGAGCACAACCGACCAGCACGCCGCGGCAACCGCCAACCGCCGCTCCTAGGTGCGCCGCGTCTACTTCGTGATGCATCACGTCCTTAAGGAGCTCTCCTCAAAGCGGCTCGCGGCGGATCAGCGCAACTTTGCAGAGGCAAGCGCGGCGCAAGCGGCGGCTGCGCTGGCCGCCTCATGCTCGGGGCACAGATCGAGTTTTGCTCGCGTTCGCTGCCAGCTGGCAGCGTTGGGGGGCTTGGCGCCCGCTGTCTACATTTGTTCTTGGCTTTGTGCAGGATGGTCAGCCCCGCCTGGCGTAGAAGGCAATGAGTCTCACTCATCTGACACCCCCCTCCCGCGCACACACACACACACACACACACACACACACACACACACACACACACACACACACACACACACATGTTGCTGTATCACTCTCACACACACACATCCACACTCACTCACGACCCCCAGATCACAGCCCAGCTTCTGGACCACGTCTGGGGCCAGTGGTGCTCAGACCTCAACACCATTGTCTCGGGCCTCCCCTCCGCCCTGGCCGCGCCGTCCGGCGCCGCCGCGCAGCCGCTGCTGCTGCACTTCGAGCGCTGGCTGCTGCTGCTGAAGATCCTGCGCCGCCTGATCGTCTTCGGGTTCCAGTCCGACGCCAGAACACTGGAGCCGGTGCCCGCGGTCAGCACGTGCGCGCCGGCACTGCTGCAGGCGGCGGGGGCGCTGGCGGCGGCGCGGCCCGAGCGGGCGGCGCAGAGCAGGGTGGTTGCTATGGTTGATAGGGGGGTGCTCAAGCTGGTCAAGACGCTGTGTCAGATCCAGGAGGCGCACCCCTGGTGAGCGGCGGGCTTCCAGGGTGGTTTTTACGGTGCGATGGCAGCTTTGCCAACCACAGGGTGACCGAGGGGCTGTACCCTTGACCCTAAGGGCGGCGCAACGGGCGGCGGGGCGGACCCCGTTCCGCTGCATACGCTCTGCGGCGTGCGAAACCTGCCGGGCTTTGGGTTGCCGCGTGATCGCACCCATGCGGGAGTTGGCCGACCCCCTGGCGTTGCGCACCCATCGCACTGACTCGTCCTTGTGACTGCGCTGCCTGTGTCAGTGCGGGTCACTCTGGTTGTGCCCGTACCCCACTGGAAACCGTCGTGCCCCCAACCAAACCCTGACCGCCACCCAAGGTCGTTCCACCACGCGGGAGTGCTGCTGCCCACCCTCGAGCTCTGCTGCGACCGCGTCACCTCCCACGCGGCAGCCACGACCAGCGGCCGCGCCGCTGGCGGCGGCGGCGGCGGCGCGGCCACGGGCGGCGCCGCGGGCGGCCCGCAGGCGTCCAGAGAGGACCTCTTGATCTGCTGCATGCGGACGCTGGTGGGGGCCCTGGCCTGCGAGTCGTACAAGGGCCGCGCCGCCGGCCTTAGTGGCGCCGCGCAGCGCGCGGAGCGGGTGCGCGACATGGCCGCCGCCGTGAGGGCCGTCCTCGACGAGTTCTGGGCCGGCGGCGGCGGCGGCGACGGGCGGCAGCTGACGGACGGGGCCAGCGGTGGCGCGGCGGGGCGGCGGGGCGCGCTGCTGCGGGCGCTGATGGAGGGGCTTTTTCCCCTCACTGCGCGGGAGCTTCAGGAGTGGGAGGAGGGGCCTGAGGAGTGGTACCACGCGCAGGAGGGCGGCTCGTGGGAGGACAGCCTGCGGCCCTGCGCGGAGCACCTGTTCCTCACGCTGCTCATGGT